GTCTCACATTATTATTATCATTACTATTTCACTCTCATACACTAACTTCGGTTCGTTGTTCTTTTATTATGCGCACTATATCTCTTAACATCATTGTTGATGTGTGGCGCAGATGTATTTTGTGGCTTCTTGTACCGATGTTTATGTGTTTGAATAAACAAATAAAAAACGGATATCTTGCATGCACCATTTGTGATATAAGTTGGTTAAAGAGCAAAACCACTTTGCTAATTATATGTACTTTAGGCTACTTTGTACAGTAAAATTTTACTGAATTGACGAGTGTACTGCATGACGTTTACTAACTTCTGAAACGTAACAGTGGGTAATTACTAAGCTAGTTGCGCACGAAATAGCATGTGATAAAACTATAAGAACTTAGAACAGGATCATGAATTCTTACTCTAATGAATAGCCAAAGTCATTTTCTGGTATTTTTATTGGTCGATCAACAAATAAAAAAACGACAAACTTTACAGAATCCAGCAAACTAATCTTCGATTCTCAATAAACAGATCAAAACTTTGAGGTTTCGCATATTTTCTGTTCGTAGTTTAGATAAATATTACAGTAGTTTTGTTGAAACTTATTGATATCAATCTTGAAATTGATGGGTTATTTTCAGCAATCATTTTGTTATATACAACATAGTAACTGAACGTTGGTCTTATTCGATGGTAAATAAACTTTTCTACAGAAGAAAATTTATCAATGACGAAGAAATGTTTTATATTGACGTTATTATTCAGACAGATTTATCTCAAACTCATGGGCCGATAGACTGAAATATTAAAAATCTGTTAGACTTAATACAACCTTTTGCTTACAAGAATAACGTACCATAGTACGTAATTCATCTCAAATTGTTTTATAGCTATAGCTATAAAGCGATGGAAACACAACAATAACGAAACTTTACAGTAATCCCTAGATACAAACGTCGATCTACTATGAAGAGTAGACAGTTTCGCGCAGGCGATAAGTCTTCATTACAATGAAGTAAACGAAAATAGGCTAAACTGATTCAGACTCTAAGCAATACTACTCAAATTGAGTCTAGCATCATATGGAGGACAAGTAAGCATACTTACCTGCAATACTTGTAGGGATTTTAGTAGATTACATTCTTTGAAATATTGTTCGATAAGTCGGACAACGCTGAAACCATTAAATTAGAGATAATTTAGCTTACTCCGCCGATTCTATCTCAATAGCCATTTCTTCGAAGCACGCGCTATCATCAGACAGAGGCCTATCAATAAACAATAACACAGGGACTGAAAGTGAACACTTATTCTACAAAGGATTACTATTTGCTACTATGTGATCTACGCTTAGTTTTCAAATTGATTTTTAGGTCGAGAGTTGATAGACACTCCAGAGTTATTCCCAGATGTCTTTTGTACTTGAAGACCAAATGTGCACCAGTGTTCGATTTCTACAGACAGTCATGAAAATCCAAATAACCTCAGCGAGATCAAATACAAATCATTCGCTTTTTTATTCTTTCGAAGGAAGAGCAAAATGATAAAATGCGTTTTAAATTGACTCCGTTCTCAATATCCCTATGTTTGTAAACGACATTGTAGGTGAACAGATGAAGGAGTACATAGAAGAACACTTTCATGAAGCTGAACACCCATTTACAAAAAGTAGGTCACGAGTGCTCAGTGCATTGTAATCGAAGGGCAGCTAGGTGACTACTGATATATGCCACATTCCTTGATTAAGCCGAAACATTCGACTCCGTATAAAAAGCATTCCTATAAATAAATAAAAAACATATTAGTTTCTCAAAACACCGATTTCGTGACCTTAAAAACGGCTGAATTTGGAAGTACTTCTCCTTGACATTATTATGGAACGCTTGAAATCGTTTACGTCAGCGTTTGGAATCATTGTAATAAAACATTGACAATTTCAGAATTTCATGAATGATATTGAAGTCAAAAGCGGCTGGCGAATCACATCTACTTTGGTGGCTTTAAGAGATGGAGATCAAAAAGAGTAAAAAAGAGTCGGCCGAACATCAAGTCAATCAAAGTGATAATGTTTTGGTAGTCAAGCTGTAAATAAATACCAAAAACAACTTTCCGTTCATTTTCGAACACAAATTTCAGCTTACCTTAACTAACACTATTTTTGTGTATTTTAAGTATGTTATTTTGATTACCCTTAACTTTCATACGAAGTGTATTTTTATGTGAGACAGTGTGAAGGTGCAAAAAGTATTTGAAGTTTGACAACAATTTATCTAGTAACACCTACTATGAATCGTACCCACCAAGTGAAATCAAAAAACAGAAGCGAGAAGGTTCGATGATATATTTGATGGGCCATCATTGTATCGTGTATCGGCTGATCTAATCTGGCTAGTGATTGCGGGGGTTGTTGAACATGGCATTCCCACTCGTGATCTGGTGCGGATGCATGACCGAGCGCCCTCAGCTAGGTGAATGCATTAAAACTAATGTGGTCAGCATGCTTTTGATTTTGAGGACTTATTTACATCTACAGACCATTACCCCTTAGTGGGATAGTGATGGTCCTAAGACGTGGCCAGCCAGAAGTGTAAGCCTAACGAGTTTGTCGTTGGTAAACACTCTTCTTACCTTAAACATACCCTGGTAATATTGACTTATTATCCAGAGTGATTAAGTTTCGCTTTGTGTTCACATTATTATTATTATTATTACCCTTTTCATTATCCTTATCTCCTCTTACTCCGTTTCCTGTCTAGTTGACCTTTTATTTATATATATATATGCTCTTATTAAGTATATGTGTTACCAGATTGTTCGAAATGTATTGCGCTAATATATCACATAGTTCTGATAATCTTCGTCTTCTAATATCATTATCGAAATTTATCAAAGGGACTAATTGTTTTAAAACTCTTCTGATAGCCTGGTATTTTTAGCAGCGTTTAGTCATCTTTCTGTACTATAAGAGGCCATGTGGTACAATAATAAAAAAACAGGTGATATGAAAATTTCGGTTCATCGTAAACTTCACCGTTTTTTTCACTTCATCCAGGGAAATCTGTTTAGTCTAATCATCTTAGATTTCTGACAGCTTACACAGGAGCGTGCTAACTCCCTGGTGTTGTTTGTGCGATAAGTTCTCTAATTGTGGGGATTGATTTTTTTGTGATATCGTCCAAAATGATAGATTTTGCATTTCGACAAATTCGGTCGGCTGAAGGTCTCACAGGAAACGTGCAATTTGTTATGAACCGTCTATAGAAACTTATCATTCAGTTAAACGTGCTTGATTTCGGTCGGTTCTAGGTGATCCAGAATGGTAGAATGCAGTGAGCATCAACACTCTGTCTGATAAAATTGAGATAGTCGAGGCCAATTTGACGTTTATAAATGCTTACAGTAATACCGTGCCACTGAAGTCATTCGAAGACAAGGTTCAAATGCTGTAGACGAAATGCTCTGTCCATAATTGCAATCGAACCGTCATTAACATACGCATGTACGAAGTTGGGTTCTCGAAAGACGTCTTCAATGAATGTCTGAGAACCCTGTGCAGCATTTCTTAAGCCAAAAAGCTATAGTAAAAACTTTCATAGTCCGAAAGGAGTGTTGATAGCGGCTTTAGGAAAGTCGACAACAGCCATAGGAATGTGGTTGCATGCTGTAAAGAAGTCGATTTTCACAAAAACAGATTTATCCTTCAAGGTAGCTGTCAAGTCGTGAATCTGAGGCAATGGGCAACGATAAGGAATGGTTTTCGCATTCAATTGCCGATAGTCACCAGTTGAACGCCAGTCGTTGATGTCCATTTTAGAGATCATATGCAAGGAAGATGAATGTGGGATGTTTGATGGCCCAATTATTCCTAAGTCTACTAAACTGTGGAATTCATTTTTAGCAAACCTCAGCCTTTCGGGTCTAGTCGGCGCGGTTTCGAGAATACATGCGGTTATGTAGTTGTGATATGGTTTGTAACATCTCTGGTTAAACATGGCAATTTCGGTTGCGTTTGGTTTATCTCAGAGTATTTATCGAGTATTTGTTGGTAGTATGGATCGATTATGTGTTTTACTGTGGCTGGGGTTAATCTTCAACCGGAAAAGGAAGTTACGCAAACAAATAAATTAACATTTCCGTCAACTAAATTTCATTTGCGCGTGTCGATGAGTAAATTATGATGTTGTAGCAGGTCTATACCAATGGTTAGTATAGAAACCTCTGTACCGACGGAAATCCAGTGTATGGGTTTTCCTAAACACACGCTAAGATGAGCTGAATTGCCCAGCATTCAATATCGAAAAATCACAGAGCTATTTATTTTGGGGATTTATTTACCGTTACATAAGCTTCTGAGTAGCGAAACCAGGTTTCCTTGTTGTCGGGCCAAAATGGCACTGGCCGAAGTAAGAGTGGCGTAAGAGCCTTGAACCTGAATAATTTAAGAGTCTGTTCGATCATGATGAATATTAAGAATGGCAATGAACGAGGAAAAAACCCACAAATTTTAAGAAAATATCGAAATACATAAAAATTAAAGTGAAAAATCGATATACAAAGTTACAAAAACAAACAGACTCGCAGTTTACGATCAGGTGTACCAGATCCTTTCAAGTTCACAACACTTGGGGTCTTTCATGGCTGTCAGAAAGCATTTATATGAAGATGCTTTTTTGAGGATGGAACCCATTGTGCAATATCCGTTGTGTGCAAAAAGAACGTGTTACTTACAGTAGTCTTTTCTCACTATAGGAACCGCAAATTATTCCCCAGGATGAATAAGGGTTTTTTATACAACAATTAAGTCATTAGAATATAGGACTTTACGATCAGAAAGTACTAGTCTTGGATTAATAGGTTTACTCCGTCTCAAAACTATACAGACGACACCATTAATTTATACTTTAAGTATATATGTGTTTTCGCTTCTTTTGCATCTTTCATAGCAACATGGTGCAAGGTAATATAAACTGTGGATTTTTATTGTCCTATCTAGAATATTGGGCATTAGTTTCTTTCTAAGGTCGTTGCTTCAGCGCTTCCTTCTAAACTATTTTCACCTTACGCTCATTAGCCTATGGTTAGTTCCTTTGCTGGTCTCATAAATTTGGGACACTTTTTCCGTTTGCGTTAATTGTAGATATATATGTTGTTTGTGTATGTGTTTGTGAATTGAAGGTACTTCTCTGTCGCCAAATATTTTTAAAAAATATCGTCTCGCACCTTATTCGATACCAATATCTACGTCATTTCGTCTGAATTTTAAGATCATGCGTCACAACTTCTATTTTAATTTCCAAATCCCAATTGTAAATTATTTACAATTTGGTATGCTATCAGCATGATCACCTGATTTCATTCTTAACGTCTCTGCTCTTTTCTGCCTTTTACTATTTCTAAGATGCTCATCCCTTTAATCTCATGTTCAATGATAACAAATGTGTATCTGCGATGTTTTATGGTTCTTATAAAAACATCGCAGATACATATTATAGTATTATAGTATTTAGTAATCTTTTAGCTACAAAACAATTTGAAAGAACAGGTCATCCTCTGTTCAATGCGTAGCTGCGTTAAATAAGCACAAATTGTAAGTGAAGCTGGGGGTTTATTATCACATATGAAAAGATCATGTCAATTTCGCCGTCTTGATCAAAGTTCCTAGGCAAAACACATATTGAAATATTCGGCTCACTGAGTAATCTTTAACTGCAGAAGGTTTTACTTAGTATAAATCGTTTCGTAACAGGGTTTTCTCGGAGCCGTGTCCAGAGAATTATTTTCATCAGTCAGCACCAGCTACTCAAAAATGCTTCGTTATTAAAAATGTCCTCGCTTTAAGATTTTGAAATGGATTTAGTTTTAAAGTTTCAGTTGTTGTTCTGTGCTGAACCTTAAAGAAATCTTAATTTTAAATCTCTATAACTGAAATGTCACATATTGAGTCTTCCGGTTGTAACTAGAAATTAAATTGTCCAGAATGTTGTTGCTTGACTTCACGGTAAGGTTCCTGTTTTTAACTCAAAGTGAAGTGCTCACTTGAAGTAAGATTAAAAGTCGAGGTTAATTAGATTATTACCGGAATAAATTTTTTGATATGTATAATAGCTAGAATTTCCCTCCTTTATTTCCGTCTTTGTACATCTGTAATTTATATTTGGTTTTTAAATCTTTATTTACCCACTGGTTCTTCAGTGTTACAGCTTGTTTCTAGGACCTATTTGATTTTCACATTGATCTCTGTTCTTTATTTTTAGCCTCATAAATGTTCTATTTAGACTTTACTTAAATGTACTTGCATTTTCATAAATACTTTCATTTTCTTCTACATAATCAGCAAATTTTACTACTAAAAATAATCCTGCCTATCACTTAATTATCTGAACACTCGCTGTCATCGTAAAGTTTGCGTATGTGATCGTGTATATTTCATTAACTTCAATTACACTTCTAAACACCGGCTATTTACATTGTGATTCCTTTAAAGTATTTAAATACTGAGCGTTTATCTGCCCCCATCTACCAGATATACAGTATCATAGACAAGACAGCAATATAATTAGCTTTTACATAATAAGTATGACTGATTAACCAGGATTAAAACCTATCTAAAGCTATTTAATTCCAAATATTAATTCATATATGAAGAGTATTATCTGTCTTGGCACATAAGTCACTTACTATTGAGCGTATAGATATGTTTATTTGCTCGTAAGCTTCTATTTTTACTTGACTAACTACATATGGTACCACACATTTTATTTTTTATTTATTTATCTGAACACATGAGCATTGGTATAAGTAGGCACGAAATAGATATGCGCTACATAAATCATTCGATTTATGTGAGGGCTGGTATACTGCTCAGGTGTCCAAACCGAAGCCGGCGGAGGGCATACCCGGAGTCTTTGACCTAAAGGTCTGATCTACAAGGAAGTGGAGCAACGTTAGGAGATGCAGTCCCATGGTAGTCAGTGGCCAACGATAGGTCCATACTCCATCTGTTCCTTCAGGATCCTGGAGTTCATATGCATCATTGGTTTTTAATCAGGGTTTTCCTTTAGTGAACCCTCTGAGTCCACCGACCCGGTTAAAGCACCGGACATTCGCTTTTCGTCCTCTCGATTTCGTAAACAACAGTGATGCCGCGAGAAGGCATTGAGTAGGACTTCCCTGACAGTGGTTGTATGCACGTGCCCGTGTGAGAGCATTTCGAAAGGGAGAGCTAACTCTCCCCACTCTCGGCCGTGCCAGGATATTTGAGAGTATGATATCACATTATGTTTTAGATTACTTGAGATTAGGCGAAATATATGTAAATCATCTATCCGAAAAGTGTGTATAATATTTTCAAAAATTCTTGGCAAGACTATAATTTATGGACGAACCAAACAGATTTACAATAATAATGGCTCAAAGTTAATTCATTCATTTAACTAAATATAGTTTTGGTATTATAGCTGATATCAGTTCGTTATGAAAACCTTATATTTGATTCCTAACGTTATTTATCAACTGTAAATCATAATTCTAATTTCTCATACTGGTTTATAACCCTCATTTTATTTGATTTCGTAGACCGCGAGATTCTGTGGCAGTGTCTGTCATTGAAAGGCGTACCTCAGAAGTACATAAATCTTGTGAAGGCTCTTTACTCCAACACTACTAGTCGAGTCAGAGCTTATGGCGAACTGTCATCTGCTTTTGCAACCTCAATTGGTGTCCGTCAAGGCTGTCCACTTTCTCTATTTTTGTTTAACTTCATCATTGACCTATTGATGGAAATAACACTCTCGTCGACTGAATTCTCGGGTATTGATCTCCTTCCAGGAGGTCCACTTATCGACTTAGAATACGCAGATGACATAGTCCTGGTGGTGAAGACGCTGATAAAATGCAGAGTCTTTTGGTAGCACTGAGCAACAATGCCAGATTGTTTGGAGTGCGATTCTCTCCCTCTAAATGCAAGATTTTGCTTCAGGACTGGTCTGCGTCAACACCTGAACTAAGGATAGGGGGTGAAGTCGTCGAACGCGTTGACAACTTCACTTATCTTGGAAGTCTGATCAGCCCTAATGGGTTGGTGTCTGACGAAATCTCAGCACGGATTCGAAAAGCTCGTTTAGCTTTTGCCAACTTACGTCATCTATGGCGAGGGCGAGATATTCGTCTATCAATAAAGAGACAAGTATAATGCGCGGCAGTCTATTCTTTTTTAATTTACGGCAGCAAAACATGATCATTAAGAGTAGAAGATACTCGTAAGCTACTAGTATTTGACCACAGATGCCTTGGAAATATTGCTGGCTAAGAGATTAAAATCGCTTCATATCTTTCTTTCTACGAACTAATTCTTTCTTCCTGTACTATATCCTTTTATGCAATCTTTCTTTTATATATTACCACCATTGAATTAACTACTTCTATGAATTTGGTGTTCATCTTGTTGTTGAGATATGGCAAGTTCGACCGAAGCATATATGTACCTGGTCCTACGTTGTGGCTGACTGACTGACTTATAACCCTCATTTAGTCGTAGTATGTAGGTGAACATTCTCTAGATCTCTTTAGAGTCGCTCACCGAATTGATGAATATTTATCGTTGATTTTTTCTCTCTATTTTTCAGCTTTTTAGAATTTTCTCAATTTATATAATTGTGCAATACATTTGATTATGTAAGTTCATTTATTTAATATGATGATAACACTTGTTTTTTGTTTTAGGGATAATTCAATGAAACTTTTACAAGTTCAAGTATTCTTTCGTCATGGTGCAAGAACACCTTTATTTCATGTTAAATCATCTATTTTCCCTGAAGTAAAATTATATTATCATAATTATGGTATTTTATTTATTTATTTTCCTCCTCCCTCCCCCCCTCCTTCCCCTCCTCATTTTCTTACTCCTCCTCCTCCCTCCCTTAGGCTATATGGTCTCCAGAACTATCTACAGATTTACCACATACATTATTTCCTTATCGTTTAATTGATATATCTACCCAGAAACAAACTCAATTATCATCTGATTATTTAGATAAATTATTTGTATTACCTGTAAGTACATTAAATTTCATTATTATTATAATATAAAAATTTTTATTTTTAGGGTGGTAATAAAGTTGGTGAATTAACTAAAACTGGTCAACAAGATGCATATAATTTAGGTATACGTTTAAAAAAACAATATAAAGACAATTATAATTTTATTTCATATCAATTTCAACCATCTCAATTTCAGTAGGTCTATTCAATATTACTTATAATGATAATATTGTTATTTTCTTTTTAGTTTAAGAACTACTTTCATTGCTAGAACTATTAAATCATTACGTTGTGTTATGGCTGGTTTATATGGTGATAATATATCATTAAGTAAGTAGGATTTATACAAAATAAATAACTAATCTACACATATATTCATGTTCTTTTTTTTCACACTCTTTGATTTGACTTCTTGACCACTGTTATACGATTCTTAATTTATCACCTGCTCACTAGTGACTGACTTCAGGAGACACTCATGGAGTTCTAGTGAGAAGTCGTTACCAGTGGAGTTCAACCAGGTCTGTTGTGAGATAGGAACTTACTGAAGACAATGGTGTACGGTGGCGCAACTTCGTGGATTGGTTGAAGTTAGACATTAACACCGTTGGATGCCGGCTCAGTGGCCTAGTGGTTAAGTGCTCTCTCGCGAGACCAGTAAATCCTGGGTTCGAATCCCTCGAGGTGCGGGGTCGTGGATGCGCACTGCTGGGGAGTCCCATACCGGGACGAAACGGCCGTCCAGTGCTTCCAGGTTTTTCATGATGGTCTAACTTCAATTGACTCATGATTTCAACTTGTGAAATTTCTTAATTTATTCCCAATCTATTACTTACAATCGTCTATACTCACAACTACGTTTGACTTAATCTTGTATCATTATTATTTTTCATTTTGTGGTGTGTTGCGGTCTAGTCCACTTGTATATCAACTATGTATGTCTGAAATATACGATTCACACAGCGGAGGCTGTGAGAAAGCGTTTGACTTTGTGGATAGAAATACATTATAGAACCTTTTACCTTCGAAAGCCTGACAAACAAATCCTGTTAAGGGATCTTTGTACAGAAGTATGTCTTGGGTGTTTATGTGAAAATATCAACGTTACATTCCTAAAAGCACTATTGAATCATTCAGTATGTGTAAGTGCAGTTTCTGTATTGCAGAGCCTATTAATAACTTTATGAAATAAAATGTGTAAACTTTTCCAAGTCTATACTGAAGTACAATCTCTAATTAGTTTAACAAGTGGATAATGACATCCAATATTATCAGTTGTATGACTATGATTTTACACCTCCGTGATGTGCCTTAGTAATTAACAAAACCATTCATTGCTATTTGACGGATCGCTTCTCTTAAGTTGATGAAGATTTACTACTTATTCAACTGATTTTCCATCTTTACTTGGTATTCTACTCCTAGCCAAGTATTGCTTATTCCAAAGTTCCGAAATACACTAACAATGCTTCAAAGAAACTGATGGTCGAATATCAGTAACTTATGAATATCCTCTACTCTTATTAGCCATGTTTTACACCTATAAATTGAAACGGGGCGAACTGCTATTCAGTAAACTTGTACGTGGTAGACAAGTGAATTCTGTATAACTCCTAGTAGATGTATGTTATTGCGAAGTGCATATTACAGTTGCATTATTAATTGTCAGGATTACAAATTTGCATCAGTAAATAGTTCTGGCTAACTGATTTGGGAAGTGAGAAACAGTCCTATGCATTTGCTATTTGTTAGTAGTGTATGCTGTTATATCCGAACAAAGAATAAATGAATGGTAATTCCTATGAATTATTGGCGGACATTTATTACATGTATCCTTATTAATTGATTATTAAGTAACTAGTCTACACATATATTCATGTTCTCTTTTTCCACAATCTTTGATTTAACTTATTGACCACTGTTATACGATTTACAATTCTTAATTTATTCCCAATCTATTAGTTACAATCGTCTATACTCACAACTACGTTTGACTTAATCTTGTATCACAATTATTTTTCATTTTTTGGTGTGATGCGGTCTAGTTTATTTGTATATCAACTATGTATGTCTGAAATATACGATTCACACATAAGAGGTTGATATTTATGTTCTGAACTGAATGAATCGGGAATAGTTGAGAAGTTGTCATATAGAGAACCGATGAGAACTCAGAGTGGACTCGAGATTGCTAATACTGTTTGATGCATTATTGATTTAGCACTGAGACAAGGTCATACAAGTCGTTGTTTTGACGATGTTGATATTCTATCATTAAGTATATAGAAATAATCTAGTGAAGTACTACTTTTTTTGTTGTTGTTTCCATTAGCTGAACCTGTTAATTTTCAATGTGATCAATTAAATAATGAAATACTTTTCCCAAATCCACATACATGTCAATTACTTACACAATTATTCAATGATGGTATTATTGAATGTAATGAATCAAAAACATTTCAAGAAATGAAACAAAAATTAAAAAATATTTTAGGTAAGTATAATTATTTCTTTTTTTAGTGTAAAAGATGTTCCACTGTGATACTTACTTATCCATGTTAATCCTTGTGGTGGAGGATAGGTTATTCACTAACATTCTCTATTCAACCCTGTCATAAGTGTAAAAGATATCATTTCATTTTTATATTATACTTAAGTTCTTATTTAAATCTTATTTGTTTTATTATACTAGTTTCTGTTCAATGAAAACCCTCCTGGAGACCATCTGGGGCTACTTTCATTTCCAAGCCCAGATAAAAGAGGAGGGTTGGCTATGGGGTTAGAGACCACATCCCGTAGAAAACTGACTTGCTAAAATAAACGCTTACCAGAAAAAATAATTCAAACCATTTAAACTATGTCTTTTGGAGTTAGAGGGTCTTCAGTTAGAAGAGTTATGACGCCTTGTGGTGAAAGTCGAGATCCTTCGAAAATCACGAGGCTGATGTCTCTTCTGACAATCGGAGCAACCATTTATTTAGATACATGGAATGCTCTTACAATTTGGGAGACCGGGAGAGTCTTCCAAATTGCTATTGCTGTTCAATAAGTATGCGAACGATGGTCATACTTACATAGTTACTTACTTACACCTGTTACTTCTCGTGGAGGAGTATAGGCCACCCACCAGCATTCTCCATCTAACCCTGTCTTGAGCAATCTTTCCCAGTTGTTATTCATCTTTTTCATATCTGTTTCTATCTCCCGACGTAATATGTGATTAAACCTTTCCCTTCAGGATTTCAAGTTAGGGCTTGCCTTGTGATACAGTTTGATGATTTCCGTAATGTATGTCCTATTTATTTCAATCGTCTTTTTCTAATTTTTTCTTCAGCTGGAAGTTGGTTTGTTCTCTCATATACTAGGCTATTGCTGATGGTATCCGGCCAAAAGATGTTGAATATCTTGAGTAGACAACTATTTATCAACACTTGTACCCTTTTGATGATGGTTGTGGTAGTTCTCCAATTTTCAGCTCCGTATGGTAGAACTGTCTTGACGTTCATATTGAACATTGTGACTTTGATATTGGTTGACAGTTGTTTTGAGTCCTATACGTTCTTCAATTGTAGGAATGCTGTCCTTGTTTTGCCAATCCTCGCCTTTATGTCTGCATCTGATCCTCCTTGTTCATCGATGATGCTTCTCAGGTACTTGAAGGATTCTACATCTTCCAGAGTGTCACCATCAAGTGTGATTATGTTAGTGTTCTAATTGTTTTATTTGAGGATCTTACTTTTTCCATTGTGTTATTCGAGGCCTACTGAACGAAGGTCATACATTACATATTTTAAAAACTGTAGGAAACATCATTCTTATCCTATTTAAAATACTTCCCACTTGTATCAGTGAACTTATCCTATACCCGTTTTCACTATTTAGAACATCCATAAAAATGCTTCGAAGTTAGGCTCTTCAGTCGCTTCATCATCATCTCATCCTTTTTTTTCAAGGTCCCAAATATTTTATTATGATCACTCGTATAGATCATTTTTATAAATTTGATTAGTCAGTAAACATTTTGATCATGAATGGGCTATTTGAATATGCAAGTTACTGCACATGTTCAGCAATTACATCAACACAGTTAACCAATGTTCATCATGATCTTTATTCTTGTAAACTCTTGTAGTGTCAGTTATTATGCCAAGCCCATATACCTTATTCGAGCTTTCGGACATCCCATTCTATTCATTTTACTTGAGCCATACATTGACCTTGTTATTTATTCGCTTATCAATCTAGACTGTTTTTATATGAGCGTATATGTGTGTGCCCTTCTTATCCTATTAATCACATGTCTGTAGCTTTATTTTGTCTGACTATAAATATTGAGTAACGCTTGACTAAAAGGGAGTTGGCTTCCCAGCCATCTTCCATACGTGTCAAAATTGCTTTGCTATGCTTCGTTCGCTTCATGTACGAAATATATGTATTCTCAAGTCAATTCTCGTTATTCGACTTATTTAATTCCGTTATTGGATAACGCGATTGAAGTCGACGATGATATACGAGAAAAGGCGTTAACAAACATCCATACAATCTAAAACGGAGTCAGAACCACAGGCCACTAAACTCTATAGCATACACTGAAACTTTAGATCCATTTAGAATAAGTTGTTCTATCCAATACGCTATCTTCACTGGTAACTTGTGGTTTTAATGTAATTCAATCTACGTAGATAGCTCATATAAGTTAAGTAATTAATTTATAGTTATAAACCGTTTACCATGTACACAATCGTGTGTTTGAGTTTGAGTTACATTTCTTATATAGATGTTAATATTACTGCTATCAACACTACTTCTCCAACTACTATTAATACTACTTAATTGCTTAAAGTGACATGGATTAGAATTGGAACTTACTAAACAATGGTTAAAAGGATAATTTTTTTCCCATTTCAACATATTATCTCATCTAAATACTAAGACTCATTTACAATCTAATGCATTCTGTGTTTAACATCTTATCACTTAGTTGCATGTTTCAATTCAATTATAATTACCCTGGCTCAAACAGTTAAGTAGTGTCTGTTTAGCATTCCTTCACCCCTGCCCTCCAAATATATACACAATTTGCTAACGAACTCGAACTAAGTTAATGAGTTTAATTTAGTTGTTTTCCATTAGATCCTCATCAGACTTTAATATACAGTAATACGACATTATTAGACTAATCAAGGCAGTTTATGAGTCAATGATAACAATCGAATAGATTACATAACTAAAGAAGTGAAAAGTACAAATTAGTAGTATGATGACAGGTGTACCAATTGTGATAAGAATAATAAAGGCTTGAATCAATGTTACATAATTGGAAATAGGTCAATGACTAAACACTGAAGTGACATTCATAAAAATTATAAGATTACGCAATAAGAAGTGTTCAGATAATTGGACTGTGAAACGTACATTTGAAGTTAGATATTAACAATGTTGGATACCGGCTCAGTGGTCTAATGTTTGAGCGCTCGCACACAGGACTGATGGGTTATGGGTTCGGATCTCGTGGGGGGGGGCCATGGATGCTCACGGCTGAGGAGTCCTCTACTAGGGCAAAACGACCGTCCAGTGCTTTCAGGTTTCTCATGGTGGTCTAGCTTCAGTTGACTCATGATTTCAACTATTGAAATTACTAAAATCTCCACAAAGCCCTTTCTGATAAAAAAGAAAATGATGAGAGGGGGTGAAGAAAAATAGACGAAGAAAGAGTTGAGGAATCATCATAGATCGGATCAAATACGATAGACAGAAGTTGGCTGCATTAAACGGTTTCTTCATTAATCTATCACGTAGTACATCACTAGCTACATCTCCATTGAATTGCAACTTCAGGAAACCCTGTAAATAACTCATTTCAATCAAGATCACACTACTAATTTGTACTTTTTATTTCTTTAGTTATGTAATCTATTCGATTGTTATCAATGACTCATTAACTGCTTTGATTGGTTTAATAATTACATATTACTGTATATTAGAGTAAAGTCTAATGAGGATCTAATTGAAAACAATATTGTTCTCTTCTATATATTGTACATATGTATTTAACACATTTACATAACTAACAATACAAAATATCTATGTAGAAGTGCAATACAATTAAGTGCAAATAAATGTCTATATCCTATCAATGACTTATTTCATTAATAAAAGATTATTTAGGATAGTTGGATATTGACACACCCAATGCATATATATTATAATTGATGCGATTCAATTCTAAACAGTCTACTAAACCAGTGTTCGAAATACATGTATATATATACACTTCATTTGCAGAGTATAGATTGTATGTTAGTGTTTTTCAACCATATTGTTTGCACAAGGGTTAGTGAATAAACCAGGGTTCGAACTTGCGGCTAATTAGTTGAGAATCTAATATTTTTAATCACTCCATAACTACTTTATCATCTCTTTGATTAGACAACATCATTTGTGTCTCTAATAGAATAAAATTCATTGACTGTATTAATACTCTACAATTTTAGACAATTCTATATAATGTACTATTCAATGTTATATATGCATATATATATGCCTGGTTCCACGTTGTAGCTGACTAACTGACTGGTTAATGTTCTTCAGTTTGATGATGTCATATAAATTATGTAATTTATAAAAGAAGTTTCGAAATATTTAAATTGATACACAAATAATAGTTTTGTTAAATAACACATATTAATACACATCTATGAAGTTGGTTCTTTTGACAAATTTAAGTTATCATAAGGGGTTTTGTGGAGATTATAGTAATTTAAATAATTGAAATCATGAGTCAATTGAATCTAGACCACCATGTAAAACCTTCAAGAGGTATTTCCTGGAATTCTAGTGAGAAGCAGTGACCCCCAAATGCCATGGTACGGCCGAGAGTGGGGAGAGTCCGCTCTCCCTCTCCAAATGCTCTCACATGGCCACGCCTATATAGCCTCTGTCAGGGAAGTCCTATTCACTGTCTTCACGTGGCGGGGGTGTTGTTTACGAAATTGAGAAAACGAAAAGTGAATGTACGGCGCTTTAACCGGCTTGGTGGATACGAAGAGTCCACCTAGGAGAGTTGGAAAATCCTCATTCCAAACCAATGGTGCACACCGGCTCCAGTATCTTGAAGGAACAAATGGCGTATGAACCAATCGTTGGTCACCGGCTACCATGGGACTACATCTCCTGATGTTGCTCCATTGCCTTGTGGGTCAGACCTTTCGGTCGAAGGCTCCGGGTGTGGTCTCCTAAGAAAACCACCTGCTTCAGTTTGGGCAGCCGGGCAGTATCACAGCCCATGCATATCAAATGAGATTTGTGTGGCGCTTATGTATTTGGCGCCTATTTGTACCAATATCTATGTTTTAAAATAAATGAACCAGTGAAGTTCAACCACGTCTATTGTGAGATGGTGTATGTGTCACTCAATTACGTGGATTAGTTGAAGTTAGACAATAACAGCGTTGGATGCCGGCTCAGTGGTCTAGAGGTTAAGCGTTCGTGCAC